ATGGGACCAGCAGTTAGTGTAATGGCTATGTCGCTGGACTCCCACGTAGTCGACCGCGGTTCAAGTCCTGGACCTGGTGGCTTAAAGTCATGCCAGGCGCCTGTGTGTGTGTGCCCAAGATCCTGAGAGGAGAATGGAGGAGAAGGGATTGCGGCGTGACCATCCCCCCTGGGCCGTGATTTCTTGCTTTCTATCTCTCTGTCTCTCTCTGTCTCTGCCTGGTGAGTGCACGCACCCTATAGCAAAAACCTCTCCAAAAAAAAAAAAGGGGTGAAAATCAGATACTTTACACCCCCTTGGTGGGTATAAACAATGTAGATAATGGGGCCAGCCCATGACGTTGTGCTTAAGATGGCTAGATCCCACATGGCCAACTTCTTTTGGACTTAGTGGCTTGAGAAACATGCCAGGCATGTATGCATGCATGCCCAAAATCCAGAGGGGAAGGAGAAGTGGAGAAGGGATTACAACATGACCATTACTCATGAGAAGTACCCTTTTTTTCTCTCTCTTCATCAAGTACATATGCCCTCTGGCATATGAAAAAAAATGTGAAACCATGACAAGTGTTGATGAAGATGTAGAGACATTGGAAATTTTACTCATTGCCAGTGGGAATCTAAAATGGTATAGCTACTTTGGAAAAACAGTTTGGCAGTTTCTCAAAATGATAAACATAGTTACCTCACAACCTAGTAGTTCTACAATTACGATATATCCCTAACGCATGCCTGAAACCATGGATAGTGATTAACACCATTGCTGTCAACTGGAATACATTTCTGTTCATGTTTTATTCCCACAATTTAATTTTTTATTTGTTTATTTGCCATAGGGCATGTGCACTCACTGGAGAGAGATCGGAGTGGGGAGTGATAAAGCACTCCCCCAACCCCAGGGGGGACGGTTACACAATAATCCCTTCTCTTCCTTTCTCTTTTTGGGATTTGGGCATGCACGCACATGTACCCAGTGTGTTCTTCAGACATCTGGATCTGAGGCTCGAACAGCAAAGTTACATATGTGGGATCCAGCCACCTTAACCATTATGCCACTGGCTGGCCCATTTTTTTCTCTTTAAACTAAGCAATGATCATATATTGCAGCTGTAACGTTTTCAGTTTGTGGAAAGACAACAAAAATAGCACCAATTCCTTTTTCTTTCTTTACAATCTCAAGGACAGAATATTCATTCTTACCATATTTCTGAAGTTTTCATCCAAAATACATTGTCTGTTGGCTCAATCAAGTACATCAACATATGTGTTATCAACAAACAATTTTCCATTTCTTTTTTTTTTTCCATCCAGAGTACACTGTATATTGTCTCAATCAAGCATATCAACAAACATGTTATTATTAGCAAGTGATCTTCCATTTCTTGTTTTCTGTATGTTTTGCTTTTTTCCCCCTATCCTTGGTTCCCTCTCTCTTACCCTCTGCCACCTCCTGTTCTCCTCCCACACTTTCTCTGTTATCTATGTTTGCTTTCTATACCATTTTCCCCCCACATTTTATTGAATCACCAAAGACCCTCATCAATCCAAATACCCTCCTAGCAAACACATGTGACACACACATTTCCATGAGCACAAGACTAACTTTACGCATCCTATAAA